CAGCAGGAAGTGATTGTATTGGACTGATTGCATTGTTTTCTTTTTCTTACCAGGATGTGTTTCTCATCTGCTTTTCGCTTGTTAGTCCTGCTTCATTTGAAAATGTCCGGGCCAAGGTGAGTTGTGAAAGAGAGGAGGCTGTGAAGGTGTCTGCATGGTTCAGTTTTAGGATATGACATTACGAGAGGCATTGGGGCTGATTTGATTAGACACATTTTTTTCAAGGTGTGACTCAGATTTGTAAAGATTTAGTTTCACCCTGTTTTCTGCTGAAAAAAGTACATAGTGGATACTTTTATGACTAAATAGCTTGATATTTCCCTTAGCACTTACTAGAGACCAAAAACAAACATGACTCTAAATGCATGGGACTGTTGCTGTGTATCTGCTGGATGTGTAAAGGCAGTTCTAGGGCTGGTTCGGAGCCAGTACCTATTTTTGAACTAGTTCTTTGTGTTTTTGCAGCCAAAGAACTGGCTCTGGGCCAGAAAAACAGGTTCTAACTTGGCACCAACTCTTTGCTGGTCTAGAACTAAGAACTACTTACATCAGGAGCTGGGGTGGGATTATTGCGATCATTGTAATCAAAGAGCAACTAAAACTCTGTGACCTTTTTTTTTTTTTAAAGCGCAACAACAGAGTAGTTTAGTCTTGCATAGCTACCAAAAGAAAGACATGGGCTTCATTGACATGAAATTGAATCAGCAACGGACTGTAAAGGAGACAAACTGTTAGGTAGTTTATGGGTGATAAAGGCTAACATCTTATGTTCAGTGTTAATATGAATCAAAAGGTGTTATGTATTTGCTGTTCTTCTTGAACGTAACCACCGTCTATAGAAATCATGACGAGCAGCTCAAATGCATTGAACCAGTAGTGTTTAGATTCCAGTGGAGGCTCCAAAGCCAGGAGCAACACTACAAAGGAGACACCACAGGGAGACACTGAACTCTGTCATTGTTGTTATTGTGCTTGGTGCTAGCATAGCTGGGAACGCAGAGGCGTATCGTATGTGGCTGTCTAGCCTGTGGTGTGGAAAGGCAAACTGGTTCTTAGAAGGTTCACAAGTTGAAACAGCTCTGAACTGACTCTAGCACCAGCTGAAAACTTAGTTTATGTTGGTTGAAAGGGGTATAACTGCAAAAAGGTGATAATACTGTATGAATACTTTGTCAGTGCTGCTCGTCAGTGGCCAAAAAAAAATCAGTCGGTGGTGCACTCTTTGCCCTTATACCAACCCTACACTTGTGTTCCATTCACCAGCTTGGTATTTGCACATCTGTAGCTAAATTTATATACTGATCTTATAAAATGGCATGTTCAAGATAAGATGCAGGTTTGAAACTTTACAGACATGGACTAATTTGTCAGTACCCTTACACGGAAAAAGAATACCGGTAACCTACAGTTTTCTTTGAAATAATTTGAAACAAAAAAAAATCAGTCATTGTTTATTCCATATTCAATAAAAATAATACTTTGCTTTTGATTTTTGATCCTACTGAATAATTTAAATGATGAAACAAACATGGCAGGAACAAAATGATGGGACCCTTAACCTAGTATTTTGTTGCACAGCCTTTAGAGGCATTCACGGTGAACAAGTGATTTCTGTAGCTCTCAGCAGGTAGTTTGGCTGACACGTGCTGAGCAAATTGCTCCAGCTGACTCAGGTTTCAAGGGGCCTTCTCCAGACTGATGTTTCAGCTCTTTTCATGGATGTTCAATGGGATTCAGATCAGTGCTCACAGAACATTGCAGTGTCATACAAATTAAAGGGAATGCTTAGTTTGAACTAATAGCTGCCCCTGGTAAGCTAGTGGTTAAGGCGCAGCGCTCTTGCCGCTGCGGCCTGGGTTCGAATCAGAGTTGGGTCAGGAAGGGCATCCGGCGTAAAACACATGTCAGATGTCAACATGCGAGTCAGTGTGACAATTCGCTGTGGCGACCCCTAAACGGGAAAAGCCGAAAGTGACTTTCTACTCAGTTTGAACTACCACTTAACTCAGTTATATATACATTTTTCTAGGGGTACCCACATATCTGTCCAGGTTATTTTAGAATATCTTTGTAGAAAAAGAAATAATTTCTTCTTTCACACTTTCTTTGCTTTACTCCCTGACATACCAAAGGCATGCAGGTACACATGAGACAGTTGCTTTACATTTCACCACTATGACACATTGTTTCGGTGAGCTGTAGGGCACCAAAGAATTTGTCTGTACAGTAACTCTCATTTATCAGTGTTGTGGTCTCTATGCAGTGGTACCCTGAGGTGAGACACCATTGTCCCAACACTCCCATCATCCTGGTGGGCACAAAGCTGGATCTCAGAGATGACAAGGACACCATGGAGAAGCTGAAGGAGAAGAAACTCTCCCCAATTACCTATCCCCAAGGACTGGCAATGGCTAAAGAGATTGGTAACACTTTTTGACTTTACTGAGTTTTTTGTCTGTTTTTTGCTGAACTATTTGAAATGAATGCTTTCGAAAAATACAAACCAGTGGCTCTGTCTGCACTACATATTTGCCTCAGGTTCTGTCAAGTACTTGGAGTGTTCAGCGCTGACTCAGCGTGGCCTTAAAACTGTGTTTGACGAGGCCATCCGGGCAGTCCTCTGTCCTCCTCCTGTCAAGAAGAAGGGGAAGAAGTGCACTCTCCTCTAAGAATTCCTCCACTGGAACGGTTACAGGGGAACATGGGCGCTAGCAGTGAGGGTGGCTAGAGACACAGGAGAAAGACACCAGTATACCCACAGAAACAATGTACTTCAGATTCCTTCCTTCTTTCAATAAGTGTAGCTACAGCAGTTATACCGACCATTTCCATAAATATTTTGACATGGGTGAGATTTAGAAGATGATTATAGAACTTTAGTTTTTTCCTAATAACATATACTGTATAGACAAGATTATGAAATTCTTGAGGCCTTCTGAAAAGGATTGGATGTTCTGTATAATGGACCGTGGAATGTTTTCAATCAGTTCTTCCACTGGTTGTCCACCTTTTTGTGTTTACAGTCTTAGTTTATTTTGAGTGGAAGAAATCTTGCCAAACAGTTTTCGCACATATAGTATTTTAGATGAAAGGAAAATCTTTGCTCTATTGTCCTTTACACCTTAAAAATATGGTTGACAATTTGCTGGTGTGTGTGTGTGTGTGTGTGTGTGTGTGTGTGTGTGTGGGTGTGTGTGTGTGTGTGTGGCTGTTGGCTCATCTCCATTCATGTTAGTTTCACTTTGCGGGGGCAGTTGTGTCCTCGCGCTGTCAACAAGGAAGTTAAAGTAACCTTCTGTGAAGTTCTTTTTGCCTCCGATTACTATGTACCATAATCTTTTACCAGTAGTTATTTTTAGTCCAAGCACTATTCATTCATTCTCATGGACTGAGTGACACTTGAGATGTGATGAAAATTCAGACTGGGAAAAGGTCTACTCATGCCAACAGTGCTATTAATCCCTGAAAAATCTAACTAATCCAGTATTTTATGTGTTTGATGCCAATTGGACATGTCAAGTTTGTGGTGTTTTTTTTCCCCCCCACTGTGAAAAATGTCCTTAGAAGTGTGTCAACTGTATAGTTGCCCAGGAGTGCACAGCTGAAAGTCTTTTTGATATTGGATTAGAACTGTTCGGGTGTTTTGGTGGTGGGATCAAGAACACTTTTAGTGCTCTCTGGGAATTTCTCAGAAACCTTTTGTGCAGTGTACTTTGTTTTAATAGCATTACTACAGGCTAAGCAACAACATCGACAAGACCATTTGTCTGCTAGTAACAGTAATGAAGCTACTGTCAGTTACAGTGTAGTATACAGTGTACTCATTTTTGTTATATCATGGGCCATTTTGTAACTTTCTGCAGAGAACTTACACTTCACTCACTGTAATGTCAAACTAACTTACACTTCACTCACTGTTATGTCAAACTAACACTATGAATATCCTTTTAACTTACACTTCACTCACTGTTGTCAAACTAACACTATGAATATCCTTTGTTTATTACCTCTACAGTTAACTCTACCCTCATCTCTCTACAAGCCAAGCTTTTTGTAATTAATGCTGATAGCATGTATGTGCAACATATACTGAAAACTAAGATTCAGATTACTAGTTCTATTTTTTGCTTAGTTACAAAATGTATTTGAACTACTAGATCAGGGGTTAAGTAGGTCGCTCATCTGTATTGTATTCTGACTTCAAGCTGTGCTTTAACTCTAGCCAATGTGGAGGGTCTTCAATTTTATGGATACAAACTGTCACTTTTTGGAGAAAAAAAAAAAAATCCAATAAACACCAATAAACTTGACCCTGTTCTGCCTCTTTGTTGGACAGTGCACCCTCAGTTTTACTTTGAGGTAACACTGGTAGCACCAACTCACCTTGTCAGTCCAACCGGGCAACCCTGGTCATAGACACCAGCCAAAGTTGCAGTTGTATCAAAGTGGTTTTGTAGTGTGCACTCTAGTTCTGACATGAGGAAGATGAGCATCAAGTAATTTTTTTTTTATTATGAAAACCTAAATACGTCAACACAATTGACAATTCATAAACCCACAAGGTTTTAAAATACATTTGTCTTCTCTAAATCTGAAAAATAATTCATCATCCCTGTACAAGCATCTGTTCATCTTATGCCTTCTTTATCTTCAGTAACTGGCTTCAGTCCCGCTGCTGTGGTTCAGGAATCAACAAATCGTAACAATATCCCCGAAGTTGTAGGTACGCTGGAAAGAAAACAGTTACTTCAGTAAAATAAGATGGAACAAAGTAAAAGTTGAATTTGTTTGAGATTCTTAACAATCATAGCTGTGCTTTACTTTTCATCCTATGTGGATCAAGCTGGTTTGTTTTTGAAGATTTTGACAAGTACATTTCAAAGTCCGAGAGCTAGAATCTAGTCTGGTTTGTCCAAACAAGTAACAAAAAAGCCCACAATTACTGAACTGAGAAGGATCATAAATCAGAGAAGCTGCATGAAGTTCCTGTCCTTTTCAGTTGACTAGATGGGTAAACTCTGACTTAATGAAAATCCTCTAATAAAAAAAAAACACACTTTTCAGAATCAGCATTATTCAATTACCTCTCTACCAACTCTGCACCAACAATGTCATGGATGTGATATTTCATGTGGAATTTAACTTGTGAAGTTGTTCGTCGTTCCTCTAGTTCTGCTTTTAAGACCTCACTATATTTGGACTTCTTCACCATGCCGAGCACTGCTTTACGACCTAACGAGAGAAGCAACAGGAGGGTTAGAAACAAACAAATATCCAATTAAAGTACTGTCAAAGGTCTTGTAACATGAGAGGATTACATGTGACATAACTAACATAAAATAGGTAGGTAGGTAGGTACTTTATTGATCCCTCAATGGGGAAATTTCAGTGCTTCAGCATATTAGATGTTCCCTCACACCCACCTTGTATAAAGTACTTGGTGAATTTGCCAGAGTTGGGAATGGAAAGCCACCAGCTGCCTGCGTCCCTCACAGTCAGGACCCCCGACTTCACCAGCTGCCTGGATGGTGAGAAATTAAAGCATGTGCTGAACTTTGAAAATATGTCACACACAGTAAATGTCAGAGGTGAGAAGTAATGAAGTACAAATACTGTACTTAAGTAGCATTTCTAGGTATCTGTACTTTTAAAAAAAATTTTCTCAACATTTTAATTTTTAAACTATTAACCACTCTTAAACCATAATATATATCTATAATTAGCTTAAAATATTTGATGACCTGAGATTATTTGTTTCCCCCCAAAACTTTAAATAGTTTGAACTTTCCCAGCACTTTGTTGTTCTTCTAAAAGAGACACTTTTAAAGAAAATTTAGTTTTCACCATAGTATGTCTCAAACAAAAATGAGAAACATGAGATAAATTAATTTCTTTCGTACGTTATCTCGGAGTCTGTGAAGAGGAACTCCTTGAGCATCTTGTCTTTTGTGAAGCTCAGATCCCTGCAAGACGATAACACTTTCTCCAAGAACTTCTCCACTGCTGCTCGTGTCACTTTGCCCTCCTCTCCTGCCAGCACTTTGGTCTTGTAGTCTGAAGCAAAAATCAGCCCGAACGCTTCAGCATCAAACCCAAGCTGGAACATCAGCAGTTCTCCTTTCTCCCGCAGTTTGTTCTGTGAAGGATGACAGTGGGTTGTACTTTCTTATTTAGACAGATAAACACATGACCTTTCTGACACTGAAAAGCCATCTTACCACCTCCTTATCCACCAGTGTCTTGTCACTGTGTATACTGTAGAGCTGGTGCTTGAGAGCAATTTGAGGCAAGGTGTCATTGAAGAGCTTTCTGGGGAACAGCGTCATGAGGTACTCCAAGGTGGATTTGATGTCAGTTGGTCCTTAGGGGTGAAGATATAGATGGGTGGTGACTTTTACATCATCTAATAAGATCAACAAAACTGACATTAGCAGCCACACCCACCATCGCCATCACTGACAGCTCCAAACTTCTCTGTGGCATTTTTTCTTTTCTTCGCCATCAAAGTGTCTGAAATGAGAGCCCGTTTTCTGTTCATACCTGGAAGACAGAGTATGGTAGACAAAGCACGACGGGAATCTTGTCAGCTGGTCATTTAAACGGCTGCTCTTAATATGTCAATAAAAACTAAAATCCACAAGATGCGATTTTTATTTTGGTTATCAGATACATTTGCAATACATTTACTACACAGTGTCCTCTCTCCTGCAAACCTTTACTGAATTAACTGGTAAACTAGCGGTAATGCTACTTACAAATGACAGTTCTCCTTTTGTTAAACAAGTATCGTGGCCAAATTTTGCTAACAAGTATATCCCTGACAGAAATACCCAAGAGCTCTCGAAATAGTTGGCTCAAATTATTGCTGTGGAAAAACTCGGACTATCATATTTGGCACAGTGCTCCGGTTCAATCAGTTTTGTCTTTCGTTAGCCAAGATAATGCAGCAAGCTAACGCTACGTGGCCGGAACACTAAACACTTTAGCACATATTTAAATAGCCCATCTAGTTGAAAGCTTTACCTGAGAATTACTATTAATATTCACGTTGATTTGATGTCATTCCACAGGTATAACGAAGAACTTCGGTGTTTTGGTCTTCTCCAGACCGTATAATTATTCACAGGAGGTGTCACGGGTACCACCAACTTACGATACTTCCGGAGGAAGTGGCGTAGGTTCTTTTTGTGTGTTTGTTTGTTTTTTGTTTTGTTTTATCTCTGATCAATGGCATGATAAACAGCCACAAAAAGAGAAACTAGGATTAAAGATACAACTTAAAAAAAAATAACGTTGACCTTTAAGGATATATCCCAGAGGATTTCAGGTGACGTTGCCCGCCAAGCGCTAACAATTAGAAGAAGACGACGAAGAAGAACGGTTACCAAAAAGCAGAGAGATTATGAATTAACGTAAATCAAGTATTTCTGCCTTCTTTGCGCTCAGGTACGAGTACCACCAACTCCCCATCGTGGCTAGCGAGGCCACCACCCTATAAGCATATTTCTCCAGGCAGAGACTATAGAAATGTGCCCTGAAAGTTATGTCTAGGAAATAGCGTAAGTTTGGTGTTAGCTTGTGATGTTAGTTAGCTACACAGCTAGTCACTCACACAGCCTTCCTCTCACTATTAACGTTGCTTTCGTTTGTCGGTTTATTCAGAAAAGATGCTGCAACATGTGAAGTCCGTATTATCATGACTGACTTGGCTCTGAGAGGATTTTAACATCATCATCATAGCGTTAGCTGTTTTTTTTGTACATTTATAGTTAAATGAGATCAACGTTATTGATCCAGTGCAGGAAAACGTAAATACCCCGGAAGCGAAAGGGAGTATAATAACAAATCCGTAACAGAATAAATAAGTACCTTTATAAACTGCTACATTACATTATGAACATCTACTATGTATAACATGAAGAATAAAAACTAAACAGATACTATTAAACAGACCTAACTACTAATAACTATAAGTTTGGACACAAAGTAAATTGAGGAGATAAGGAAGTTATGATGTATAAATACAAACATTGCGCATGAAGTAATGAATTTAGGAGGGGGCTGAAGGGTCTTGTATGTACAGATAGCAGTGCTACCAGTAGTGATTGCAATTGGAGCACCATTAACAATTTTAGTAGTGTCTTTTTAGTAACCACACAAGTGATGATGAGCCAGAGCACTTTTTAGCTTTCCTGCAAGAGAGCAAGGCTGTCAAGTATCATTGTCATCATCTTGCTTCATTGCTCTTCTCTCCACTAAGTAGAAGTGGTGGAAGAAGTACTCGGATTGTTTACTTAAGTAAAGGTAGTAACACCACAGTGTACAAATACTCCGTTACAAGTAAAAGTCCAGCATTCAAAATGTGACTTTAGTAAAATGATAAAATTATTGGAATCAAAATACACTTAAAGTACCAAAAGTAAAAGTACTTCTTGTGCAGAATGGCATGGTTCACATCATATCATATTATATTATTGAATTATAGTTACTGATGCATTATTGTGAACATCACAGTTAATGTTGCAGCTGGTAAAGGCACAGCTAATTTTAACTACCTTATATGCTCATATTTGAAGTATTTTACATACTGCTGGGTAGCTTGTGAATTTTCTACCAGGCACCAATTAAGTCTTATGATTATACTGTATTTTGCTTAAGTAATCTCATTCTGAAAAGTAACTAGTAACTAGAGTTATCAAATAAATGTATTGAGTACAAAGTACAATATTTTTCTCAGAAATGTAGTGAAGTCAAAGTATGAAGTAGCACAAAATGAAAATACTCAAAGTACAGATACCTCAAAATTGTACTTTTGTACAGTACTTGAGTAAATGTACTTAGTTACTTTCCACCTCTGCTAGGTAGCAATGGACCGCAACAGGCCCCACAATCCCAACTTCAGCTGCCGCAAACGGCAGTCATCAGAAAGTGAAGGCAGTGGAAGAAATCAGTGTGAGAAGAAACCCTTCAGACCAGACCTCAGCCACCACCACCAGCATGAGTCTGGGTCAGCTCCAGGACAAAGCTCACTCCCCTCTCGGGGTCTGAGCACCAGAAAGGAGCTTTATGAGAGAGAATTTCCTTTGTACAAACAGCCTGTCGAAATAGGGTGTTTTTCCCTTGACTCTGAGCGTAGATTCTTCAATGACAGCAGACAGTTGAGATACTACGTGGAACCTGACAAAAACCCTACTTTTGACTTGAGAGATGGATACAAGGACCGCTATATAAAGAGAGATGAAAACTTGATGGAGAAGCTGGACCACATCCTACGGTGGATCATGGCCAATAGATCGAAGCTTAACTTGAGGGCCTCATCACGGTAAGTGTTCATTTACTGTTTACTCTTTTTTTTCATATTTAAGATAACAGGTCCAGGTTGCAGACAGATAGACACTCAATTGTGGTGTAAAGTCTCCAGTACAACCACCACTGACCACAGTTGTGGTCAACCTCTGCTCTTTCCAGTGCATTAGATGTGGACTTTGTGACATGGCGGGGTCATCTGACCAAGCTGCTGACCACACCCTATGAGACACGGGAAGGCTGGTTGCTGGCGGTGACCAGGTTTAAAGGCACATTTTACATCAGTGAAGTGGAAACAGAGGCCAATCATATGGAACGTGAGAACCGTACTGAGAGGCATAAAGAGATGATGTACTGGGGATACAAGTTTGAGCAATACACATGTACAGGTAGGTCAGTATATTTAGAGATGCACTGATTGCACTGACAGAAGCACATCTGTTACATCATGAACATGCAGTTCATTTTAAAGTGTGTGTAGTTTTTATTTGCTGTTTTACCATGGCGTGGATATGCATTTCAAGTGTAGCCAGTAATTCCCTCATTGTGTCCTATTTATCAGAGTTTTGAACTGTAGTTTTCCGTTCTTCAAGGTGTTTCTGTAGGCGCCTCCGTGTTTTTTGTACACCAAGTGCTTCCAGTGCGCAAATTAACATGCGCCCAGGATAAACATAAGGAGTTATTAAATAGGTTTCCATACGTATCAGTTGGCCTTATAATATTACACATGGCACTCAAATCTAAATCATGTAATGCATATAAGGCAATAGCAGATGTTTAAATGATAACAATTCATGTTTGTCCTTGCCTGTAGATAACATCCACAGTTTACCTGACCCAGGCGGAGTGGTTAACACTAATGAGGCCTTCTGCACTGTGGTGCAGACTTGGCTTGCAGATCACAGACTTCTCTTCTCCGGTGAGGTGGACTGTCGCGATAAAGACCCCAGTGCTCCAGCTCCTCCTGCCTGCTATGTTGAGCTGAAGACTTCTGCAGAGATCTACACACCCAAACAGCGCAGCAGCTTCCACAGGTAGAAGATAAAACAGTGAAACATAACAGCTTAACTTTTTCATGATGGGCTGTTTGTTGGATATCTGATTTTAGCTACTCTCAATTGTTTTAATGTTCATTCTTCTCATTTTTGTGACCCTCAGGTTCAAACTGCTGAAGTGGTGGGCCCAGTCTTTTCTCCCTGGCGTCCCTCGTGTTGTAGCAGGTTTTCGAGATCATGAAGGAGTGGTCGTTTCTGTGGAGACGTTTCACGTCTCTAAGATTTCACAGCTCATCAAGGTACGCGGTTTGCAGTGACATCATCAAAACCATAAAAAAGGATAGTGAAACATCTCAGCATAGGGCCCATTATAGGCTCTAGGGGTGGGTTTGTTGGTGTCAGAATTTTAATGTGTCCAATACTTTGGATTTGGTCAAATACATACAAAACTAATAACATTCCCATCATTGTGTTTAGTGCTAATTAGCAAATACCACACTAACATGCTAAACAAGCATTTATTAACATTTAGCTGAAAGCACCACTGTGCCTGAAGCCTTCCAGAACCATTAGCATGAACCTGTAGTCCAATTTATTGATAAAAGACATAAGAAATTATAAGATGACAAGAATGTCTTCCCTCTGGTCAGAGTGAATACAACTGCTGGAAGCCAACAGTCTGTATGAACTTTTGCTCCGATTTCCTGTCTTTTGTGAAGCATGTGGCAACCGAGGACAGCCCTAGGTGAGTCGCAATGATACAAACAGTATAGACGTCTTCAATTATAAGTACATTGCTACATGCAGTGTATTTTTAGCACTCTGCTGCAGTTAATGACTCTTTGTTTCCTTTCCAGTGTGGTGTACCTTTTCTCCTGGCAGCCCCACAGAGATGTGACCTACTCCATTCACAGGGACTCCAAGTATTCATTCCTGCCTCACTGGTATGTCAAAGAGATGACCAGCAATCAAGACTCACACCACAGGTCCTGATTCAAAGCTAAGGCCATCGACCCCCAATCTAGGGTTTATTTCCAAAATACTTTGGCACCCGATGTTTGATAAACTTTATCTATACAAGTTGCATGGTGTCACTGATCACTAACCCATGATCCCCTGCTGCGGTTTTTATTGTTTGCTCATCATTTGAAACTGAATCTTGATTTTCATGTGGCATTTTAAATAAAACAATTCCATAATGATTATCAAACTTTATTATTCCCTGGTAGGACAATAAACATGAATTCCAAAACCAGTAATATATTAATTTATACAAAATTAGAAAATAAAAGGTTTAAAAATCTTGATGTAAATAAATTCAAGTAAGCATTGTATCAACACTTACCAAACATGTTCATGTAAACTGTTCATTTGAGACTGAAAACAAGCAGTCGTTAGTCGTAAGTAGCAGTTACAAAGACGACAGTAATTTTAGTTAGTCATGTCTAGAAACAGCTGTTCAGATGCGTTGCTGGCTTTGCTTTTTCTTTTTTTAATAACACCGACACATTCACCAGGTTCAGGCTGGTTCTTAACTATTAAACAAAGTTCATTTGGTCTTCCTCACCCAGCTGAATGATCTTTTTTCAGTTTTCTACTTTTTCACTCATGTACTATTCTCAGATTTAGAGAATTTAAAGTCCACCTCTGGTGCGAGAAGCTAGATTTGGGGACAGTTCTTACAACATTAAACTGATGGAAGTAGAAAACTAGATTTTATTTCCCAAACTTGAAATACACATTTATTTGATATTATGAATTCATTTCGTAGCAGGTATACAGGCCACTGATATGCACATACAGTATAGTGTATGGTGTACCTGAGGCCAGCAGGTGAATGAGTTAGCAGAAGGTCCCAGCTCAGCTAACATAATGAAAAGGAGCTCGAATCTGGTAAATGTGTCATTTGGTTTTGGTACCACTCACACCAATTAATACCACAAAGAGTGAAAAGGCTGTGAGTTTTAACTGGGATCATGCAAAACTGTGTAGAGGGCAATACCTCTTGTAATGATTAAAACCTGCACGTTAAATGCTCAAACAGCCAGTTCAACTGCAACATAAAGAGTGAATCAACTGCAAGTAAGTGAACGGCTGCAGATAAACGAATGTAATAAAAAAATACTGTAACTTATTGCAAACCCTGACTGCCTTACACTGCTAACAAAACAGTGAAATAAACAATGGAAGTCACCTGTGTGACAATGTCCATACTGACCAACGGTCATGTAGACTAGTAATTAAGTGCATCATATCTTTATGTAACTCAACAGTCATTATAGCACGTGTATCAGTTCATAGTACAGATTTTTGCGATATAATTAGGAGGCACTTAGCACCTACTGCAGTATTTGCACACATGTAACTTTTACTCTTAATTGGTTCAAGGTTAAGTAGTCATTCCCATTAGTATTAAATTCATGGCAACTTAAGAAGAGAATTATTAACACCAAAACATTCAAACATTCAGTGCATATTTTACGCACAAATCTATAAATATGAATGGCAGCTCTGCCCTGTTTTCCATTTCACCGTTTTTGTTATTATTGATAATTTGTGTGTAACAGTAACATATATATTATATCAGCCTAATAAAAATGATCTTGTAGGAATTTCCATCTTGCAGAACATCAAACATACATTAATTTCTCCGTTAAAATATTAAACAAAGTATGAAGAATGGTCCAGTGGTGTAAGTCAAAGCAACACCTAAGTACTGTAAGTACCGTATTGGTCTCATCACCTGCACCAAACCCCTAATGCTGCAGAAATAGTTTTGACATTTTGGGAAATACACTTATTCACCAAGATTTCGCTATTAAGTACCAGCTTCTAAAATGTGAATATTTGCTAGTTATATATTAGCAAACAACTTTTTTAGTATTTTTGACTCTAAAACGATCTGTTTGAATATGCTCACTTGAGCTTCAAGGAATACTGTCCTGCCTTTTTTCCACCATGTTGACTTTTTAATACACTGAGCAACCAATCAATTATTAAATAGATGTCAGATGTATTGATAATAAAAATAATGGTTGGTTGCAACCTTAGAGTTCTCCTGTGATGAATTAATACTACCTTTCCCAAGGTTTTATATGTGGTAATTCCTTTAAAAAATTTGAAGCATTTTGATAAAACATTACAACAAACTACAAGTAGAATACTGAAGGTTTTAAAACCTTTAGCACAAGGTCTCTCTCTTCAAGACCAGGCGACAAGGTGGAGGACGAAGGACCCATCAGAATTGATACTGTGCTGTAGTAATGCAATAAAAAAAAAAAAAACTGTAACTAATCAAATGATATGTTGTTAACGTGATGCTTTCAGGCCCCGAGGAGTTTGGGGCAACTGAGCAGTCACCACTTTGCCTGACTGGTAATCCAGTTGTGGTGGTAGCTTTATATTTAGTGTAGGGTTACGAGAGCGGAGTCAATCTTTTCTCAGCAAGAAGGTGAATAAGCGTTTTCCTCTAATATCAAACTTTTCTTTGAGAAAATAATGTGACTACTGCCAGACTAATCAGCTGAGTTGAGTTACGAGACACTTATTTTCTTTCCTTTACCATGAAACTCAACCATCTCCTGTAAGATCACCATATCAAGAAAGATTCACCAGTGCAGAAAATCATGGTTTTGCCTGAAAGAATGGAACCAGTTTAAAGGTTAAAAGAGAGGGAGAGAGAATCATAAGTATTACATCCAGCTCTGGTTGTAATACTTATATACTGCATGCTTTGAGTGACTATGTGAAACCGTGGCCCTGAAGGCCCCCAATCCCATCGCATTACACCGTTTCAGTGACTGACGTTAACAAAACCTGCCCTCAATGATGTACTGTATTCAAGTAGGTGTGTGTTCACCGCTTCAGTTTCTTGTTCAGGCCCATGACTTTGAAGGTAGCAGCAGTGATCTTCTCATACACAACAAACATCAGGGCAGCTGTCAGCACCGTCTGTAGCAGCTTGGCCTCCAGACCTTTGTACAAACCAAGAACACCGTTCCTCCTGTAATAGAGAACAGTCATATTAATGACCAGCTATCACAACATCTTCACCAGTGTATGTCACAATATGTGTTTGCTGCTCTCGCCTGATTCTGTCCATTAGCAGGGAGAAAATGTTTGAGAGGCTTCCAGTCACACCACCCTTGCCATCACCTTTGTACTGGCCAAACTGGTGAGAAAATAAACAGCATGTTATCTTGCTTCATTGAGCTTTGATGGTACTTTTTTTTTTACTTGGTATATGTGTGATTGATGCAAAAGGAAAAATTAAATTGATCCGTTTTGAATAAATTTTTAACAACAAATGGTGACATGGAGCAATAGGATGTATGCTTTGGCTACACTGGAAATTCTTTTAAGTAAGTTTCATTGTTATTTTTTGGTCTTCTGTCAGAAAGCTACAGAATATCACCAGCTTCATCCTTTAATTGTGGCTACAACCTCTTTGATAAGTAAACACAGGGATGAAATTATATATAACAGTATTTACCCTTAGAATGGCCTGAACTGTCTGCAGAGGATATGTCGCTGTGGCAGCAATGGCCTTGGCAATGGCTCCAATGAGAAAGATCTCTGCTGACCGTATCTGTGAGAGGAGATAAAGACGTGACACACTCAGTGTATTTCAAAGTGGTCAGATTGAAGTCTGACTATTTGACAGATGAGTTTTATCAATGTATTTTTGTTCACAACTGTGTACTTAATGCATTCTCTCACCTTCCCCCCTCCCTGGGCTGCCTTCCTCTTCATGGCCTCATAAAGCATAAACTGCACAGCCGGGTTGAGGACGAGGATGAGAGAGGGCAGAGTGCCGTTCCACAGAGTTCCCACTCCCTCATTAGCTATGATCTGTGAGAAAGCATCTAAAAGGGAATCACACCAGGGTTTTATAACTGCAGCAAAAAAAAAAAAAAAAAATGTTAAACTAGTGTTTAAGTCACACACCAAATATGCCCCTGTACCGGGTCTGATGGAGGTCTTCGTTTCTGAACTTTGCCCCCTGAAGCTTTAGCCGAGTGTTGACCACCCACATGGGAGTGGTCAGGACCACATTCACCACACCTGCATGAACAACAGAGCGTTAGCTTTCTTAAATCCTTCTTAAAGGGATCCTGTGGAGTTCTGGACCTCTGGAAGTGCTATAGAGCAGATCTTTTATGTAAAAGTTCGAGGTACAAGTTGTGTGATGTAACACACAAATGTAGTTTCACATTAGAATTAGAGAATCCACAGGGCACCTTTAAGACCTGCAGTCAACACCTTTAGTACCCAATGGCTTCACTCATTAGCTTTACTCTGTCTATGTACCTGCTACGATCCCCATGAGCAGGTCTTTGCCAGGTCTGGACTTGGCTTGATCAGAAGCCGTCAGCTTCTTCAGTGAGTTGAAGGTGTAGAAGTAGACAAAGTTGGAGCAGCAGAGGCTGGAGATGACTGGGAACCAGCCTCTGTACAGCGACTGACTGGGAGAAGTGGCAGAGTCATTTGTTTAGTGAATGTTCAGTCATGTGGCCACATCAGTTTATGAGTGAGCTGGAAATATCTTAGATTAGGTCTGAGGCCGATGATTACTTTCATTATTGTTTGTCTTGTTTTGGCTGACCAACAATCTGCTGTAAAATAAAACCGGATTTTCGATCAGGTGCTCACAGGGGTGTTGCTTCCTTTCACTGGTCAAATAAACCAAGGACTGGATTATAATAACAAAGTAAGCCATGAGTTGGTACAAATTGAACACAGCAGGTTCTATGATAGTATGGCACAAAACTACACTTACAAGCCTTCTTCCTTTGCAATCTCAGCCAGGATGACAGGGGTGGAATTAGACTTTCGGTTCTCATCCACTGAACGACAAACACAAAAGTGGCATAAGTCATCTTTGACCGGGTCCCCCATCTTTATAAAAGTGCAAGATAAAATTAGTGAACTACATCTTTAAGCTGCCTTAAACTCATTATACAGGTAGTCTCTGTCCAAAATGATAACTCACCCTGCAGTCTGCTTTTGGCAGTGTCCAAAGGAAAGAAGACGGTCATAGCTGTCACACTCCCCTAAAAGACAACGCACTGTAATGTTACTGAATGAAAGTAGTAACTAAAAATACAAACCATACTGTAAGTAAAGGCAAGGCAGGAGAAACACGGCAAACATAGACCTAGGCATGAGAAACAAAAAAGGCTCCGACACTCTCCATTTTAACTTTCAGCGGTTCTCTTCATCACCAAGACAGCGAACATCAAGGTAGTAAGACAATAAGCTAGCAAGATGGCATACTACTGATTTACGCAATCTCTTATTGCACTTTGCCTCTGCTCACCATTGCACCTGCCACAGCATGAACCAGCGTCTCGTAAGACAGAAGGCCGACAGCCAAGCCGCCGTTGTCTGACATCTCTGCAGCTTCTCCCGGTCAGACTAAAAACCAGGAAGTAACCGCGGAGCGATCCAACAGGAGATGGATAGCGGTCGGAACGGCTTTTCTAGCTGTCGAGACGCTTTGGGGGAGTTATTAGTGATGGGCAAATGATACCGAGGCTTTGGAGCTTGTGTCACTCGTCCTGAAGCGGAGTGACTCGAAACGCTGTGTCAGAGCTTGTATCAAAACTCCAGTGTCACGTGACCGATGACGTTCGAAGCTGTTTCGCTTCACGCTTCATTCCTTCAAAATGTTTCGAAGCTTTTCATTGGCTCATAGTCTTTCAGTGTGTGTCAACGCTCATGGCGTTTCAATGCATTCTGAGCCAATGACAGCTTAACAGGTTTTACAGATTTGTGTGGTTTGGTGCCATACCAGCTATATAAGATGCATCATTATGCTTCAAAATGGGGTTGTGAGGAGATAGAGATTTGGAGAGTGAGAGTGAGAGTGAGAGTGAGAGTATTTTGGCAAGGTTCATGGCGAGTACCACCAATAAGCGACGTTCTAAAGTTTGGGATCATTTTGACCTCATACCACCCAATAAGGTATAATGCAGTTTATGGCATACATTTTATGTTTCCATAATTGAATTGTATTTTAATTTTTAAATGGGTCTCGAAATTACAATTGCTTGTAGGTGCGGTGTTTGCTCTGCACACAGGAGTTGTCTTACAGCAACAACACATCATCTATGCTGCGACACTTGCGTGCCAGGCATGATGACAATCATACCCAGCAAACCAGTGACCCTGTCAACACTGGAAATCCTGACAGTAAGCTAAATATAAACGTATATATACTGTATATATGTATGTGGGTGTGTCTATTTACTGTAGATGTTGTGTATCATATTCATATAGCAACCTGTCTTCCACACAGTGTCCAGAAAACAGAAGCTGGATGAGGCCTTGGTGGACATGATAGTTAAAGATGGTCAGCCTTTTTCTATCATTGAGGATGAAGGGTTCCAAAATTTCATCAAAATCCTGG